TAGATGGGCCAGCCGCAAAGTCAAAATTGTCTATATCGTAAAAAATTCATGAAAACAAAAATGTAATTTAAGGTTAGGGTTAGGTGTAAGGTTATCAGTGTGGTTAGGGTTAGGTTTAAAATCTGATTTTGTGGCTAGGCCAGCTAGTGAACACTCCGCAGAGCTGCCTCCAGGACAAGATTCATCCCAATAAATGCCAACCTGCGTGTGAGTGCGTGTGTCTTTATGGCATTCACATTTGAGCTAATAAAGAACTAGGATATAGCAGAAAGTTGGAACTGAAACATACATTGAAAGGTTTTAAAAGGTTTACAAGAGGCACTTAACTGACCTTCATATCAGCCCACAGTCAATTACGAAAGGCCACTCTGAAACTGCTCATAATAGACAGACACACAGACTTTAAATGTATTTTCTCCAAACAACGACCAATTGACGTGAGCTAAAAGCCTATGTGCGGAGAAGGACGATTTGATCAATGTCCACACAAACAAACCCAGACCAAACGCCCACCTGTTGCTAACTGCTCGCCTATAAAGAAGTCAGCATCACTTCCTCGCAAAAAAGTCACTGTTAGGGAGCACCGCTGAGGCAATTTCTGCCCAGATTAACCCCTGACATTTTCAAAGAGCTAAAACACAGGATATTTGTATTAGGCTCATTATTTGTAAATGTGAAGGCAGCTTCCCTCATTCAAACTACCTGGAAAATGCATCTTAAAAAGCTTAGAAGACCATGGCAGCTTTATGATGCACTACAATGCCTCAGATAGCATTATAAATGCCCTTATAAGGCATTATATGTGTTTGCCTCATACAAAGTGTTACCTAAGTGTCTAGCCTTTTAGTGTCTACATTTTTTAAGTACACGCATTAACACAGAATCATTTCCGTCTTGAACAGAGGCAGTTTGATTTACAAGTCAGGTACAGTAGGTTATCAGAAAATTGACCTGCCCTTGTGTTTTGGAGACACCTGTTTGTAATTAGATGTGGTGCATCTCAGGGGGACGGGGGCTTTGGCTGGGCCTGCCCTGTACACCGTCTACCTGCAGTAGTAGATATAGATTCACCACTCACCAATATATTCCAATAGAAAAGCTGTCGTTTTCTAAACAGAAATGTATAGATGAGTTTTTGTCCGCTATATTCGTAAAAGAAGCTCTGTGGTCTCAATAACCTTTTATTATGGGGTGAACGAAAGATTGCTGATTTTCACAGAAACAGCATGATAGAAAATGTACTATTTGTGTGCAATTGTATGATTGTTATGTCATTATTTTGTGATCCATTGGGCATTTTGAATGGCCATAGAATAACAGAGCAGTACTAAAGTACACATACACACACTCTCCGACTGTGGTTGCTCCCGGTTACAATTCAACATGTTTTTCCTCCTCTAAATGGCCGTGGCTCTCCCTAAGTGTTCCACTGAACGATGCTCCCTAGGTGTTTACACGCAATTTCATTCACTGAAAGCACTCTGTCACATCTCTGTTCGCTCCACACACACACACACACACACACACACACACACACACACACACACACACACACACACACACACACAGTTAGCTTTGACTCAATTAGCTTTGTACCAGGCTCTCAGTTGAGTTTGAGTGTGTGTGCGTGTGTGTGTGTGTGCGTGCGTGTGCATGCCTGTGTGCGTCTGTGCGTGTGAGCGAGCGTGTGTGTATTCATGCTCGTGTGTTTTCAGTTGCTGTTATTTGTCATGATAAAGCCCTCTGGTCTCCCATAGCCAAGCCACTCTGGTTTGAGGCTAGAACAGCTGATTCATTAGCACACACACAAACTCTACAGGGATATAAATACATCAAGGCTGCTACTGCGTCTCGTCGTCCCCCAGACCCCAGACCCATCCATTAGCCGGAGAATAGACACTGCTGACACAGATTCCAGCAGTTGTCACTCTGACGCCTTTGATGGGCGCTGGCCCCCAGCCCTGAATGGCTCCGGCTTTTGGCTTTTCTCACCCTGTTGTTGTGTGGAGAGAGAAAGAGAGAAAGGGAAGAGGGGAGGTTTTACTGGAGCTGGCTGATAAAGAAATGTGGCTTGTTAGGTCCTTTTAGTGGCGTACTAGCGAGTGACAGCTGACTGTTTGAAAAGTGAGGGTCATGTTCTATTGAGATGTCTCCTTGAGTGAAGATGGAGAGACAAAAGAGTCATGTTCCGACAGACAGCCTTTGTTAGAACTGAGGTGCTTTTTTTAAGAGGACTTTTGGTTTTGGTTAGACAAGAGGCAGCCATTTTGGTGCCAGTCAGACTTCGCTAGTGTCCGACTGACAGAAAACCATCCCTCTGCGATGAATCATCCTTCCAGGAAATCACAATTTCACTGTCACACCACCTAGCACCACAAATTACTATTATATGGCTTCCCATTCAATTTCCTGGGTTTTTCATAGTAATGGTGGTGGCGATGATAACGATGCACTCACATTGAATGTCAATGTGGATAGCCTGCCATAAAACGACCCATACCGACCAGCCTGTCCAGGCTGCTTCCCAAATGGCACCCTATTCCTTATGTAGTGTACTACTTTTGACTAGAGCCCTATGGCCCCTGGTCAAACGTAGTATACTACATAGGGAAATGTAGTGCACTACATAGGGAATAGGGTGCCATTTGGGGTGCAGACCATCCAGAGTGGTGTGTGGTGGGTTCCTGGGGCACGTTTCACCAACTCTCAGTGGAGTCTGAGTGGAGTGGCTGGAGCCTGGTTTAATGTCCTCCCCCTCCTCCCATAACCGTCCATAGCCATGGAGTGTGACTGTGAATAGGAATGGCTCCTTAGAGAGGAGGGTTCACTAGACAAGGTGAATATATTTCAGGATATAGGCTGTGTCTGTGCGTGAGGGAAGGGGAGTTTTCTTAGTCTACACTTTCACTTAAAAGGAAATGTTAAAACAGATAGAGAGTATTGAGTTTTCTCTGTCTACACTTTAACTTTTAATTAAATGTTGAAATCAGCTTACCATTTGGGGAGTGGCTCCTGAACCGTGATCGTATCTTTCTCAGGCTCCGTATCAGTGAGTCCGCAAATTCTCACAGTATCTCGCGGGAACTTGGGACTTATCTTATTTTAATAACCTTGACAGGGTTAACTGCATAGTTAAATGCCAAGAAGAAGAAATTGGCAATGTCACCAAGCAAAACCAAACAAACCAAAAAACAATAGCCAGTACACAAATGTCATAAACGTAATTTACTTGCGTGGTTTTGCAGTTTGCACTACACCACATTTACATTTAAGTCATTTAGCAGATGCTCTTATCCAGAGCGACTTACAGTTAGTGAGTGCATACATTTTTTTTCTTCATATTCTTCACCACGACAAGCAACAGGTCATGATGTTAGCTAGCGAGCTCATTAGCGATGCCAGCTAGCGAATTAGCAAGCTAACGTTAGCTCGCTAGCTAGCAGGCCTCAGTAGACCACTAAATCTCGCTAGCCAATAAGTTAGCATCATCAGTCAGGCATTGGACTAAAGAGTTTGCTAGGGGTTACTTAGCTAGCTAGCTAATGTTAGGTTGTTCTATATGGAGCCTAAGCTAATTCGCTAGCTAGTATCACTAACAACATAGCTAGCTTTCTGGTCCTCTGTTGCTCAGTTGGTAGAGAATTGCGCTTGCAACGGCAGGATAGTGGGTTCGATTCCCAGGACCACCCATACATAAAATGTATGCACGCATGACTGCATGTTGCTTTGGATAAAAGCATCTGCTAAATGGCATATATATATATTATATTAAAATCAACGTTTATTGGTCGCATACACACTTTAGCAGGTGCAGCGAAATGCTTATGTTACTAGCTCCTAACAATGCAGTAAAATGTCAAACAAGTACACAAATAATTAAGAAATCAAGAAACGTTGGAATGAATCTAAATAACAACCCAAATAGCACTGTAACAGTAATCAAAATGCAATCTATACGTATACACACCAGATGAATTTACACAAGATGTACTAAGAATGATAGGTACAGGAGTAGATATATTAGTGAGCTATGTCAAGAATCCAGTATACAAATAAATATGTGCTGTGTATAAACAGTGTAACTAAAATGCAATGTACAGTAGTAGAAATATTAAGAATGAGCTATGAAGAGAATACAGTATTTAAAAACAGTGTGAAAAGGGAAGTGTCCAGTGGTTCAATGTCCTATAACATGGGACAGCAGCGTTGGCTGTGTGTGTATGTGTTATGCATCACCTGGTAGACGGCTAGTGATGGCTGTTCAACAGTCTGATGGCCTGATAATAGAAGCTGTTTTTTAGTCTCTCGGTCTTGAGTGAACAGTCCGTAGCCGAGTGAATAGTCCGTGGCTCGGGTGACTGAGGTCCTTAATGATCTTCTTGGCCTTCCTTTGACACAGATTGCTGTAAATGTCCTGGATGGCAGGCAGCGTGCCCCGGTGATGCTTTGGGCTGACCGCACCACCCTTTGGAGAGCCAGGGAGGTGCAGTTGCCGTACCAGGTGGTGATGCAGCCCGACAGAATGTTCTCAATGGTGTATTTATATATATTAGCTAGCTAGCATCATTAACAAAGTTGCTAGCTAGCGTCGCTAACGACATAGCTAGCTAATTACATTGAGAGCTTTTGCTTGGTGTGGGGTAGTGCAAACTGCACAACCACGTACACTACCAATCAAAAGTTGATTTTGCATCTTCAAAGTGGTAGGCATGTTGTGTAAATCAAATGATACAAACCCCCAAAAAATCCATTTAAATTCCATGTTGTAAGGCAACAAAATAGGAAAAATGCCAAGGGGGGTGAATACTTTCGCAAGCCACTGTATGCAGTTAACCCAGGCCAGGTTATGAAAATAAACATAAGTTCCCACGCGATACTGTGAGATATATGACAATGCTGCTTTGAGTGCTGTAGCCCTTGTTGATTTGTTTGAAGTTGTACCACCGTATAAAAACATTTTGGTACGTAAGTACTTAATTCCATTGCTCACTTGGAATGCAATGACCCTCTCTATCGAGTTTCTAAAAATCATCTTTACTATTCCACCATTGTCCCTCTCTATCTCCCAGAGCCTGCCCAGCTTTGGCCCCTACCTCCTGGAGAAGACCGAGGTCCTGGCTGAGTACATGAAGAAACTGAAGGATGCCAATGACAACTTTATGGGTGACACCAGTCCCTGCCGTGTAGGTGAGAGAGGGGCTGCCTGGATTACAAAGGACACTCTGTTATGTCTTTATATTGTTTTCTAAGACAACCGCGGACCACAATAAATCGGGTCAAGGGCCGCATCCTGCTCGCGAGCCGCCAGTTTCAGGCTTCTGCTTTAGTGTTTGTGATAGTACATCTGTTTCTAATGAAGGGATGTTGTGACCATTCTAAGGTAATTTCAAGCCAATAAAAGCATGGGTAAATCTTTATAGTTGTATCATTTTTGTTAGCATATAAAGCATTCCAGAGCATGTTATTGTTGTGTCCTTCAGCCAGACTTGTAAATAACTAGCTGTGCTTGTTGTTGCTTGTTGTTATTGCCAGACTAGTGACTAACTGTAATTGTTGTTGTTATTTCCCCTGCAGGGTGTGATCGCCAGGGTTCTGAACCACATCGTGTCCTACTTGGAGTTGGACAACCAGGGCCAGGTGATCTCTCTCTGATTGATGAGGAGATGTGCATCAACTGTGGGAAATATTACATGACCTGCCATGACTCAGGATACCAGGTACTAACATACTGTACACACACACACACACACAGCCTAGTCTACTGTGATGTTTCTCAAACGGCATCTTATTGCTTATATGGTGCGCTGTTTGGGAAATAGACTGTCTTGTTTGTCCCCTCAGCTTGAATGTAGCACTCTTGTATTGTTTATGTAACTATCCTCTCAACTGGAGCGAGATACACTCACACGGTGCAGTAAAACCCTGTTCCTTCCTGTAAGACTCTAGTTGAGTGATTGAGTTCACCTGTTCTTGTGGCAGGATGCTGCTGCACCATTGTGGTCATGTTGCAGACTAATTTTCCTCTCTCCATCCACCCAGTAGATAGAGAGAATGAGTCCTCTCTCCTATGGTGAGTCGATAATTGCTCTAATGTAATAGCTTTTTTTCTCTCTCTGCTTCCTCTTATTTTGCAGGCTATTACGTTTGACCCTGAGACCCATTTCCCAGTAATCACTGACAGCTGTACCGACTGCACTCTCTGCCTCAGCGTCTGCCCCATCATCGACTGCATCAAAATGGTTACCAGGCCAATACTGTACGTGCCTAAGAGGGGGCTGCCTCAAGCTGTTAATCCCGTTTGCTAAAGGCTGGAACAGGGCCATGTTCATTAGGCGCAAAACGGAAGAAAATGGATTGAAACAGGGAGGAACTACTTGGGCTAGTCCAATGAGAAATGGTCATTTTCGTTCCCTGTTGCAAAATGTTATGGTGTGGGGGTGCTTTGCTGGTGACACTGTCTGTGATGTATTTAGAATTCAAGGCACACTTAACCAGCTTGGCTACCACAGCATTCTGCAGTGATACGCAATCCCATCTGGTTTGGGCTTAGTGGGACTATCATTTGTTTTTCAACAGGACAATGACCCAACACACCTCCAGGCTATGTAAGGGCTATTTTACCAAGAAGGAGAGTGATGGAGTGCTGAATCAGATGACCTGGCCTCCACAATCCCCTGACCTTAACCCAATTGAGATGGATTGGGATGAGTCGGACCGCAGAGTGAAGGAAAAGCAGCCAACAAGTGCTCAGCATATGTGGGAACTCCTTCAAGACTGTTGGAAAAGCATTCCAGGTGAAGCTGGTTGAAAGAATGCCAAGAGTGTGCAAAGCTGCCATAAAGGCAAAGGGTGGCTATTTGAAGAATCTCAAATATAACATATATTTTGGTTTGTTTAACACCTTTTGGGTTACTACATGGTTCCATATGTGTTATTTCATAGTTTTGATGTCTTCACTATTATTCTACAATGTAGAAAATAGTAAAAATAAAGAAAAACCCTTAAATGAGTAGGTGTTCTAAAACTTTTGACTGGTAGTGTACATTTTAGGGAAATGGTATTAAATTGTAATTTATTATATTTAGTAATCATATTTATGAAATAATCATATAACCTGCAATTTAGGTATCTCTGTGAGTGACTTCAAGATCAGACACCTACTCAATTATATGTGAACACTTTTAGAGAAAAACTGGTTTGAAAAACAAAGCATTGTTTGTTTAAAAAAATCAAATGCAACTACTTTTCTCTGTTGTGCTAATGCATTCTCTCCACAATCCCCTTTTTTTCCCCGCTCAAGTTTTTACAAATTAATTCACAAACAAACACCCAATTCTGTGTATTGGGTAAGCTTTTTAGTTAATTAAAATCCTATCGCTGCCATTTCTGGATAAGGGTAGTCACTCCATGAAAGGGTATTGTTTGAAAATTATTGAACATACTTGTTTGAAATAGTAGACAGACATGCTGAAATTGATTATTTCATATGTTCTTATGTCGTAATGTTAACTATTTTAAAAGAGAGCAGCATCTCCATAATTCGTTTTTTAACCTGATTTAAGACATTTCACTAAGGGGCCGATTCCGACCCGAGTTAAGTGCGTGTAAATGAAACGGAATTCCCTTTTTCTGCACTTTTCTCTCTACGTGTATTCTGACCTTGAACTTAAGCATGAGAATAGCTGTTCCATTATGCAGAATTTAAATTGTATGGCATTTTAACTTACAGCGATGGGCACTCTCGAATGTCTTAATTATAGGCTACCCTGGCTTTCTCTGTTTCCTATTTCTATGATGTTAAATATTAGCCCCTATCAGTATCAACCATCAGTAGGCCTAATAACCACACATATTCAACTGCCAATTTACTGTTAGTTCCCTTCAGTTGGTATAACTACATTATCATTCCATTTCATTACATTATTTCGTTTACCTTCATTTGCTTCCTCTGTAAACTCCATCACAGCCATGTGGTTGTTGCTGAGGATCATTAGTAACAGTTGATAATAAATAAAAATATTACATCGTTATGAAGCGGAACGCAGACCAAGCCATAACAGTTTGAACCAGACGCATGGCGCAACACTTGGCCGTGTCATCACACAGTTCCATGGTTAGCGTAGGCAATAGATGAGGGTATAGCCTACTATTGTACACTATGCTCCCGATTATAATTCTATGTATACTAATTTTCCAATATTACCATGGGTTGAAGAACTGAATGTGGCAATTTTCATGTCAGGACGACGTGTATGCTGTGAGCGAAGTCAAGCGCAGGACACCGAGCTACTGGCAGACAAACTTTACTTGCACAGTAATCAAAAATACAAACAAAACCTCCAAACAGGGAGGAACAAAATACGCATACACCCGAACAATGCCGACCTCACGGAAAACAATCACACACAATAACCAATGAGAGACAGGGGGTTATAAAGGGAATACAATGTAACATAATGGGAAACAGGTGAAAACAATCAAGACAAACTAGACAAACACCGAAACATAGATCGGTGGCAGCTAGTACTCCGGGAACGACGAACGCCGAAGCCTGCCCGAGCAAGGAGGAGGAGCAGCCTCGGCTGATTCTGTGACAGATACCCCCCCCCCCCCCCTTGACGCCGACCCCGGCCTCGGGGACGGCCAGGAGGACGCGGAGCAGGGCGAGTCGGATGACTCCGGTGGAAGTCCCTCAACATGGAGGGATCTAGGATGTCCCTCCTAGGGACCCAGCACCGTTCCTCCGGACCGTACCCCTCCCACTCCACGAGATACTGCAGGCCCCCCATCCGACGCCTCGAATCCAAGATGGAACGGACGCCAGAGCCCCCTCGATGTCTAGTGGGGGCCGGAGGAGCCTCTCGTACCTCACTCTCCTGGAGTGGACCAGCCACCACCGGCCTGAGGAGAGACACATGGAACGAGGGGTTAATGCGGTAATTAATGGGCAGTTGTAACCTATAACATACCTCGTTCAATCTCCTCAGGACTTTAAATGGCCCCACAAACCGCCAACCCAGCTTCCGGCAGGGCAGGCAAAGGGGCAGGTTTCGGGTCGAGAGCCAGACCCGATCTCCCGGTGCATACACCGGAGCCTCACTGCGGTGGCGATCGGCACTCGCCTTTTGCCGCCTGATAGCCCGCTGCAGATGGACATGTGCAGTGTTCCAGGTTTCTTCCGAGCGCCGAAACCACTCGTCCACCGCAGGGGCTTCGATCTGGCTCTGATGCCAAGGTGCTAGGACCGGCTGATAACCTAGGACACACTGAAAAGGCGTAAGGTTAGTGGAGGAGTGGCAGTGAGTTTTGGGCTATCTCTGCCCAGGGAATATATCCCGACCACTCCTCCTGCCGGTCCTGGCAATAGGACCTCAGAAACCTACCCACATCCTGGTTCACTCTCTCCACCTGCCCATTACTCTCGGGGTGAAAACCTGAGGTAAGGCTAATCAAGACCCCCAGACGTTCCATAAACGCCCTCCAGACTCTAGAGGTGAACTGAGGACCCCAATCAGACACTATATTCTCAGGCACCCCGTAGTGCCGGAAGACGTGTGTGAACAGGGCGTCAGCAGTTTGTAGGGCAGTAGGGAGACCTGGCATAGGAATGAGACGGCAGGCCTTCGAAAACCGATTCACAACGACCAAGATCGTCGTGTTCCCCTGTGAGGGGGGAAGGTCCGTGACAAAATCCACCGATAGGTGAGACCACGGCCGTTGTGGAATGGGTAGGGGTTGTAACTTCCCTCTGGGCAGGTGTCTAGGCGCCTTACACTGGGCGCACACCGAGCAGGAGGAAACATAAACCCTCACGTCCTTAGCTAAAGTGGGCCACCAGTACTTCCCACTAAGGCAGTGCACTGTCCGACCAATACCAGGATGACCAGAGGAGGGTGACATGAGCCCAATATATCAATCGATCGCGAACCTCGAGCGGCACGTACTTCCGACCCTCTGGACACTGTGGGGGAGTAGGATCGGTACGTAATTCCCGCTCGATGTCCGCATCAACCTCCCACACCACCGGTGCCACAAGACAAGACTCCGGAAGTATGGGAGTGGGCTCAATGGACCTCTCCTCTGTGTCATATTGTCGGGACAGGGCGTCTGCCTTAGCGTTCTGTGACCCTGGTCTATAGGTGAGCTTAAATACAAATCGGGAAAAAACATAGCCCACCTTGCCTGGCGAGGGTTCAGCCTCCTCGCTGCCCAGATGTACTCCAGGTTACGATGGTCAGTCAGAATGAGAAAAGGGTGTTTAGCCCCCTCAAGCCAATGCCTCCACACCTTCAGGGCTTGAACCACAGCTAACAGCTCCCTGTCCCCCACGTCATAATTGCACTCCGCCGGACTGAGCTTCTTAGAATAGAAAGCACAGGGGTGGAGTTTTGGTGGCGTACCCGAGCGCTGAGACAGCACAGCGCCGATCCCAGCCTCGGACGCATCCACCTCAACTTGGAACGCCAAAGAGGGATCCGGATGTGCCAGCACCAGAGCCGAGGTAAACAGGTCCTTCAGATGTCTAAACGCCCTGTCCGCCTCAGCCGACCACTGCAGACGCACCAGACCCCCCTTTAGCAGGGAGGTAATGGGAGCTGCTACCTGTCCAAAGCCCCGGATAAACCTCCGGTAGTAATTGGCAAAACCCAAGAACCGCTGCACTTCCTTCCCTGTGGTGGGAGTCTGCCAATTACGCACGGCAGAAACGCGGTCAATCTCCATCTCCATCATTGACACGGACAACTGATGTCCCAGGAAGGAGATGGACTCCTGGAAGAACAGACATTTCTCCGCCTTCGCATACAGGTCATGCTCTAACAGTCTACCAAGCACTCGACGCACCAGGGACACATGCTCGGCTCGTGTAGCGGAGTATATTAGAATGTCATCAATATACACCACTACACCCTGTCCATGCAAGTCCCGGAAAATCTCGTCCACAAATGATTGGAAGACTGAAGGAGCATTCATTAAACTGTATGGCATGACGAGGTACTCATAGTGACCCGAGGTGGTACTGAATGCTGTCTTCCACTTATCTCGAGAGCCGAATCCCACTGGACCCCGGAGGTGAAGCGATGGGCATCGCCGATGGTGGTGGTATCGTTGGAGGAGGCGTAGGCAGACCCCCTCTTTCCCATTGCTCCATAGTGCTCACCACCCGTACCATGGCGGTGCCGAGAGCCTGGATCATGGCCGCTTGGTGTTCGACGCGTTCCTCCATTGATCCAGCTGGCACCGCCGCTCCTGCTGACTCCATGTGTGGTGTGTGATTCTGTCAGGACGACATGTATGCTGTGAGCGA